TGCATGAACTTTGTTTACATGGGGCCGAAGATAAAAGGGCAGTGGAAGTTTTTCTGCCTTCACATCAGAAAAAAATGGATCCTAACATCCTAAACTCAAGTGATACTCGTATTAAAGTTAGTAATCGTTAGTAATCATTAACTGTGTTATAAATTCCATAAAAGTGGCCTAATATATGTCTTTTATTTGGGTTATTAGTAATATGTTACGTTTAATGCAAAATTCAAGTGGAAATTGGCAAGTAAAACTGTGGTGTTTCAATGAAATCTAGCACTGAGCTTAATTTTAAGGAGCAAAAATGTTATACACAACTTTATCCGAAATACATTGCTGAAATTCACAAAATAAAATTAAATAATAAAACAGGGCAGTGACTGCTTCATTACATTTAAAAACGGAAAAATAAGTTTTTATAATATAATATTCTGAAACACTTTGGGAAGACTAACACTAAAATTCTAGTTCTGAATTAAATTTGACAGATTTTTTGAATGTTATAAATCCAAAAAATTCTAAATCATCTACTGAAGAGACTTTTTTTTTTTTTTTTTTTTTTTTGATAATTTTTGAGAAATGAAGGTTTCAGCAGTGATTAACGGTTTTTAATGCAGTCTATTTAGTTTTTTTACTAGGACTGAAATATTTGAATAATGTGCTGGTTAGATAGGAAGAAGGAAACTGTAATATCTAAATGCAAACTAATGTTGTATTTTTTTTCTGTTTTAAAATTGATTCATTTCTTTTTTATCTGTTAAATCTTTGAAGCTCATTTTGTGCTGTTAATTTATTATAATAAAAGAATTTTATTTATTTATTCTAAAATTAGATTGCTGTTATGAATAATTACAGAGGTAGAGGTGCAAGGTATCATGGCTTGAAAAGTCATCAACGTAATTCACCAGCAAACGGCAGACCAAATGAAATTCTAGAAGATTCCTTTGATAGTGCCAGGGATAATAGGCAGGATTACGAGAATTTGCAGTCAGATTTTCACCAATCACAGACTGATGCCTCGAGAAATGCATTTCATCATCGTAACAGAATTCAGCAACAAAAAAGGCAGCAAGGCAAATTTCGTAGAAGACCCCCAAATAGATGCAAGAATTCAAATGTTAATCAACCTAGAATATTTAATAAAGGCCAAGAGACTTCAAACAAGACAGAAAATGCTGAGTTCCCTAATTTCCCTCAGTTAAATGAAATTAAATCAGATGACGATTATCAGCTAAATAGATCACATTCTCCATTTGAAGTCAGAAATTCCAGAAGCACATCTCCTAAAAGTGTAAAATCATGTTCTAATGACAGTAACTCTGATGCTTGTAGTAGTATATCTGATTCTTATGCTTCTGTGAAAACATTAAAATTTGGTAATGTGCATTTTAATGTAAATAATGAAAGCTCAGATTTAAACAATTTAAAATCTAATCAACAATCCTTTTTATTTGAATCACATAAAAAGTATGAAAGCCCTAATGACAGACAAGAAGGTGTTAAAAATTATAATAAAAATAACAAATTTAACTGTAACGATACTTTTAGCATATTTGATTCTAATAAGATAGAATTAGTGAATACCTCAGATTTTGAAAAAGAGATTTTAAGAAATAGCTCTGATCAGTTATTTAAGGGGACTAATGAATCCCTTTTTTCCTTTTCGTGTGGGCAATCAGTAAAGGATAATCTTGAAAGTGTGAAAGATAATTCATCAAAATCTGTAAGAAATGATTTAACTGAATTTTCCAAGAACACGAAAGAATTGCCTTTTTCTCTTATCTTGTCACGAAGATGTGAACATGATTGTGATTCTGTAAATCAAATTAGTGGCTTAGATCCTAGAAATAAAAGTACTTCATTTCAAAAGGAACGTAATCTAGAAAATAGGTTTTCAAAGCATAATTTTAAATCTCAGTTTTCTCGGGAAGTAACAAGCTATAATGATGAGGCTCAGAAAAGAATAACAGGCAACTTGCATGCACTTGAAGGCCCATATGACTCAGATTTTCAGTTTCAGAATAGTAAAGGTGTAAATTATGATGGTAGCAATATAAGTGCAGATTTAGAAAAGATCAATAAATTATTAAACCAGTGGAAACCATCAGATTTTATTCTAGAATACCGTCAAAAAATTGATAAGCATGCTGACAAATGCGTGCAACAGAATCTGAGAGAAAAAGAAAAGATTTGTACTTTGTTTTCTCAGAAAGAATATCCTGAAGTGTTAAAAAACCTTCTAAATAATCTGACAATGCAGCAGAAAGAGTTTGACAGTATTATTTCCGATGCAAAAGTGCAGTTATCACATTTGCATAGTAACAATGTTGTAGATGTCATAAAAGAAGCTCATTTAATTGAAGAAAATGTTTTGAAAGAGTGTAAACTTTTTGTAAAATTTTTCCCTGCATATGCTATAAAATCTGATTTTTTAAAATCTATAACTGATAAGCAAGTAACGATTATAGTAGGAGATAATTCTTACTGTTTTAATATCTCATTGCCATTTTTTGTGAAAGGAAAATTTGATCATTATGTAATTTCTTGTGAACCATCAGAGCTTTTGAGTATGAGGTTGCTTCAAAGTTTAAATAGTATATTTCAAGATGAGATAGCTTCTGATTTATTGCCAATTAATGAAAGCTGTGTGGGAGATCATATTTTTGTTGTTACTGAGGAAAACCTCTTAAATTTTATTTCACATAACCGTGACGATTTCAATCTGTTCGTCATTTTAAACATCTCTTTAAAACGATCTGTGCTTACTGATGTATTGCTAGCCAATTTGAAAGATTTATTGTCGAAACAAAAGAAATCAAAACTTGTACTGCTTCTTTCACTCTATGATAATCCTACAAAATTTGAAAGTTACTTTTCTTCAGAAACAGTTTCTGTTCTTAAAGTGCAAAATCTTATCTTCCCAGTTCAAACTGTGTGGAAGCAAAATTTATTGTCTCCGGTAGATGATTATATCAGTGAAGTGGCTGAAACAGCACTAGCTATTTGTACTTTGCATGATAGTGGTGATGTGCTGGCTTTCTTACCTACGATTTCAGATGCAGATTTGGCTTCTTCATCCTTAAAAAAATTGTTAATTAAGTTTAATTACTGTGACATTGAATTGATTTTAGAACATGAAATAAATTTATATGACTATTGTTTCCAAAAACCAAATGAAAAAGTATCACCAAAGAGAAAAATTTTCTTCGTAACCAGTTCAGCAGAAATGTTTGTTATGCCATCTATCCGTTTTATCATTGATTCTGGTTTGAAAAAGGAATATGTCTATGATCAATGTAAATGTATTGATGTGTTTTCACTAACATTTAATTCTCATAGTAAAGCTAAACTGCGAAAAAGTTTAGCTGGTATTTCCAACTTTGGCATTTGTTATCGCATATACAGTAAAGAAAATTATCGTAAAGAAATGTTACATAAAGAAAACCCAGAGATTTTGACTTTAAATCCATTTAATACTTTTATAAAAATATTTCAATATAATCCAGATAAAGCTGAAGATATTCAGTTTGTTGAGCCATTGCCTGATGATATGAGACGAGATACAATGGATCGTTTAAGAAAATTCAATGCAATTAAAAATAAAAACTTAACTGCTCTGGGTAAAGATATGGTGAAACTTCCTTATGCTGCTAGATATTCCAAATTACTTTTAATGGGCATTCAGTGGGGTTTGGCTTTCGAGGCAGTTGTCCTTTTTTCTTTTTTTTCTTCTGAAATGCCAATATTTCAGCTTCCCCAAGATGAAGAACAGAAAAAGGCAATAGATGCCCAGAAATTCCAGCTAATTCAAAGCAATAGTGATACACTTACGTATCTCTATATTTATGAGAAATGGGTTGAAAATGGCCGTAGTTCAGAATGGTGTAATGACTGTTACATTTTGCCGAAGACTCTAGAGAGTGTTAGTGCAAAAATAGATGAAGTATGTAAAACTATTGCAGATTGCTTAAAAAAATACATTGAACCAAAATTTGCAGATGAGAAAAATTATTCTGATCTAACTGAAATGTTAGTTGAGTGTTTTCAGGATAATTTATGTGTTTTTACAGGACGTTATGAAAGTGGGTTTAGAGTTCTGATGTCAAATAGTATTGCACATTTAGATACAACTTCAGTAATTTGCCAAAAAGCTAATGTACCACAATATATTATTTTTGATAAGATTGTATCTAAAGATAGGGATTATATGATTCATGTAACAGCAGTTCCAGGTGAATTAATCGACCAGCTTCTTACAAAGGAATTATTGGACTACAACTATTCAGATATGTTTGAAAATAATTTAATTCAGAGGACCATTCCAGTTGGAGAAAAATTAATGAACCAAATTCTGCTTGAGAAAAGAGGTCAAAATTTAAAAAAAATTGAAGAAGATATTAAAAAAGAGACGGGTAGTGACTTTATTTTCATCGAACCATGCGTTGAAAAGGGTTGTATTTACGTGTATGCTGTGACAGATGCCATTGATTATGTGATGTGTACAGTGGAAGATACACTAAAAAATAAAAAGGAAGCTATTTTGAATGAACAAGATAAGAATGTTTTAGAGTTAAAGAAAGGTAATAATAAAGTGTATGTTAAAGTAAATTGGATAAGAGGTGCTTTAATTAAACAGCTTGAGATTGAATCAGAAGTTAAACAGCTTTTAGTGAATAAAAGTGATTGTATCTTAGATGAATTCAGTAACAAGCCATGTTCTGCTTTTGATGATTTTATCCATCTAACATTCATACGGCGGCCTTGTGATAGAGCATTTATAACTTTAAGGAATGATGCAGACTTTTTTAAAGCTCGTAAACTGACGATGAGGCGCATTCATTCTCATGTATTAAAGACTGATATTTATATGGAAGTGGGTGATAGGAAGAATCAGCTTCTTGTTTCCGATCTTCCACCCGAAACTACCAAAGAAAGTTTTAAACAGGCTTTTCAAATTCTCTTACATGATGTTCTAATAGACAACTTTCAATTAGAGTACAAATTTCCTTTTGGAACTCCAAATCAGGATGCAAGGTTTATAAAAGATGCAATTACTAAGAAATGTAAAGAGTTAAAAATAGCTGATTTTGATATTTTAATCTCTGAACCAGCAGCAATGGATACATTTATGGAAGCTTCCATTGTTATTCAGAGTAATCAAGATTTGAATTTTCTTGCTGTAGAATTTTCTAATACAGATTTTGGCCAGCGAAAACTTATAGCTGCCCCTGAGTATGGTTCAATTATAAAATGTGATAAACGTGTATGGAATGCATTAAAAAAACGTTTTAATATAGAATTAGAAAAACTTACAAACCAACTGCATTTAGATAAAAGCCTTTTCAGATTAGAGTATGGTTTTGAAATAGAAGAGACATATTCTTTTAAATTATTGTCTAAAAGTGTGACTGATATTTTAAATGGTTGCGCACAAAACTGTTTTAATATCTTTTTGAAGACATATATAAATAGCAGTAAATAACAAATAAATTGAGAAGCTGTTTTGCCGTGGTGGATATATGTTGTTAAGAACACTTGAACAAATTACTAATGTTTGTATAATTCACGATGACAAGACTAAGGTCATTAGATTATATGGGTTGGAAGATAAATGCAGTAAAGCAGTAGAACATATTAAGCAATACATCAAAGATACAGAAAATGAGGTAGTTGAAACTGTTTCACTATCAAGTGAAACTAAGAAAAATGCTCTTTTAAAAGCAGTTATAAAGAAATATGGAACAAATCTTGATCATTTTATAGAAGTTTGTAATTTACGTTCTGCTGTACTTGATATTAGAGGATGTCAATTATTTCTGCATGGAGGTCGGGACAGCATAGAAGAGGTAATCAGTTAATATATTGTTCTTGTAATGCTGTGATATAAAATTCTTAACACTTTTTCTGCTGGTCAGGTGAGGTTGTATTGATAGTTAATACTGAGTCATAGAAATAGATTGTTCCCATGTGCCCACTAACTTATTATTAGAAATATGATTTAAAAGAGGTAATAAAAGATTATTATGTGTACTACATTTATTACTATGCACTGGCTCGTGATCGGCCCTAGAGGTAAAATTACTTCTGTAAAGCCGCATTACGCACTGGCGCGTGGCATTTAAAAGTGAATCAAAATAAGTAACAATATGCATTATTTTGGTCTGAAACTATATCACAAACTAATATATATGTTACAAATTAAGGTACTATTCGGTTTCGAGGGCCGTAAAAAATCGCCAACTATTGTTGATGCCATGCTACCAAAAAATGCGCAAGAAAGAAAGATAGTAAAATAACTATCTAAGATCGTTTTATTAGATGAAGGTTACTTCATATAATATTTTTTATTATAAACATACTGAAGAAGCATAATAAATATTTTCAGATCATTATTATAATTTAATAAAATGTGCTAAATACTGAATGGATGCCTGCATGCATTTCGCTACCGACTTATCGCTAAAGCATAGTTCATCTCTTGGTTTTCAAACAGTTAATTTTCTATAATGAATGATGCCTTTTCTTTGACATATTCGGTAAAGTGCAGATTGCTTACTTATTTGTGCGCTTTTTACAAGGTAAAAACAATTGAATTTTTTCATGTCTTTACTTTTTAATGAAAATAGGTCGATGTGTAATATAAAGTCAGGGTGTGCTAGTGCCATTTTGTGCACTCTAGGATTTTTTTTAAAGTGAAAATAGGTCGATGTGCACAGATACCGAAGTAGTGCACTCTGAAAAACGCGTCAAGCGTGGGTGAAATGGTGCGTCGTGCGTATAGTACCAACGATTCTATGGGAAAAAAAAAAGGAAAAGAGGAGGAGCCACTACGGTGGGGTGTGGTCGTCATGAGCAATCCCAATTGGGGTATAAAGAATCCATAGGATCATCAAAAGGATTACAAAATTACACTCACAGGATGTCATGGCGTCTTAAGAAATCTAAGACAAACATATGTAAACTAACACAATCTGAAATCAACGCATACGCTAGATTAGGTGTGCTGTTAAATGGGCGCTTTTGCGCATACATTTTCGCTGCAATTTTTTTACATCCCTCAAAACCGAATAGTACTACCCAAATTAATTTATTGCAAGAAAGTTACGATGATATTTTTGCAAACTATATATTTCAGAATGTTGTTCATGTATGATCTTTGCTCAAATGAAACTTTGTTTCCATACCAAGCCTAATATATTTACAACTAGTTTCTACCCTTCACTCCACGCCAATACCAGCATGTATATTCAAAATGTAATGCCAGTTGAACTTGAAAATAAACAATAAGACATTGCTTTTCCCACACTAGTGAGTGACGGGCACCTTAGACCATGTGCAAGAGCCCAATTGGCTCTTCAGCAATAAAGCCAGTCGTATGCCAGTGCATGATCGGTAGCAAATGTGTTAATGATGATTTGCATAGAATCTTAAATGTTTTTTCCTCTTGTGTTTGAATTTTGTTTATTGAATAACTTTTATGCTCATTTTCAACTATATATTTTAATTAGTCCATCTTAATTTTATTAAGCTGTCACTAATGATTTAATAATTATATTTTTTCTGTTATTTTAAAAATGAGTTCCTCCTATAAAGTTGATTAGCTTGAAATATTAAAAAATTATAAAGCTGCATAAGGACTAAGCTGCACACTATCACATTGCATTTCTTTTTTAAAGTTGTGTTAAACCAAAGTAATGTAAAGGCAAAATCATACCCAAGTGTATGCACAAATATATGTGCATTTACAAAAATTGCTGAAAAAAACAGGCTATCTGTTTAATGCCATTTGCTTCCTAAAATATCAAGAAATAACATTTTGCTTTAGTTTTTGTTAATCCGACTATCTGAAACTTCAGTTATTAACTGATTACCATTAATATAAATAGGGTACTTAGTGTTATCCCATCAACCATCAAAGTTAGCTGCCATCAGATATAAAATTTGCTGGAGATCCTGCCAAAATTGCACTAGTCATTCATGTGGAATTCTGCAAAAACTGACCCCTCTTTATTTAATAAATCATTAGCATTCTATCCATTGTGTAGAAAGGCTTCCTTCAACTTCTACTATTTTGTTAGCCCTCCGATTTTACTAGAAGTTTTATTTAGACTGTTATGAGCGTAAACTTCCCACTGCCAGTATTTCCAAGCTGTTACTGTTTTTTCGGCTGTATTCAACTCATTATACAGTCAAAAGTTGTTATTCCGGACTCGTCGGGACTTCGGCGATTCCGGATTATCGATTTTTCCGGATTATAGATCATCAGTTTAAATCTCGTAAGATGGCATGCAGAAATTCTAAAATTAAAAATATGAAACCGTAATTTATGAAATAAGAACAATTATGATCTAAAGGGTATCAAAATTTGCAAAAAGAAAAAGCTTAATATTTATTTGTTTACTTTATTAAACATTTCTTTCAATGTAAGTTGTTTAAGTTTTGCTTCGTTTCATGTGATAATACTTTCTCTTTAATTCTATTAAACAGACATAATTTCTTGTTCAGTTACAAAGTTCCGCTGTTCAAGTCCTATAATTGCTGTGTCAAGAACACCGACTAATTTGTCAATCGAAATTTTTTCGTTTTCAATAACCTCTGTCACTTTTCTTCGCTATCGGAAGCGAATTATAATGACGAGGAACTTGTTTAAATCATATCAAAGACGGAGCAATCGAGATGAAATACTACATTTGGTAAGGAATTAAAGCCAAATAAAATAAAAACATCTGCGCTGAAGATAAGGATAGTGGTTGACAGATCAACTTCCAATTCATTACGTGCCCGCCGGGCGTTCCCCCCCCCGCCGAGCAGCGTGAAATTGATAAACATATTTCGATTTCAAAACATACTTTCGCTTTAGATCCTTTACATATTAACAAATATATATCGGAAATTCTATTTGATATAATCGAAAGTTTAAGCTTACTTTTATAAAATTGCTCTTACAGTCTGCAAAAAATAATAAGCCGGATCCAATTCGAAATTAAGGAACAACGCAATCATCAACATTAACTGAAATAGATTATTGGATATTTAGCTTATACGTCCATTATACATAAACGCGCACGGCGAAACGTATTCTGCACTTGCGCACACTCATATGCGCAGTCGTAAAAGGTCTTACGCGCACGCTAAACGCCTATGCGCATGTGTCAATGCGGCGCATGCGCAGAAAGTTTTTTTTTGAGGTCCGGATTATAGATCATTCCAAATTATGGGTGTCCGAATTAACGACTTTTGACTGTAGTATCATATCCAATAATGCTTATTATTCTTATGGTAGGATATGACTTTAATAATAATACACCTCTTGCTGTTCTGTAAAAGGCAGGTCCCAAATTTTAATCTTTTTGTTTTTCCTAAAATGAAGGGGAAAATGCAATAATAACAGTTAATTTATATCCTTATCCATAAAACTGGAAGGTGTCTGATCGAGAATCGCATCAAGCAAAAGCACAGGTATAATGAGTGTGTTGTTACATCATGCTTAATCCATAACTGGCACTAAATCGCACTGCTTGGTGACTTTTTCACAATCGATGGATATAATACGTGAGTGCCAGAAATAGTTTTGTTTTAATGATGATAGCGTTGTTTTAAATATAAATGAAATTAAAATACAGGTACCAAATTCTTAAACAAAATTAGCATAAATATTACAGGAAGATTATTCAACAGACAAATGATTTGGCTAAACCAAGGTGAATACAGTGCACATAACACAGACAGAGAGTTTATTAAAAAAAAAAAGAAAAGCAGTAATCATGTTAAATGAAAAAAATAGCTTCTATTTTGTACTTTTCAACAATGATGAAGCTCAAACATAACAATGAAGACAGTTCTTTTTAAAAAAATTAAATACTTATCTTAACTGCAGGTAATGCATGTCTGTAAATCTATTCTAATACACTTCTCAGACACAAAAACCTGATAGGGATTTATTTCAATAAAAATAGAGTAACATGGTAGAGAAATTTAGGTTGTTCATTATTCCTTGAGTAACTTAAAACAATATCATTGAATAACTGTAACATTCAGCAAATACTAGTACATTAAAAATCTCTCCAAGTTTTATGTGAACCTTGCAGATGCATATTGATTGCAGATATGTGCATTTTTCATGACAGGACAGACATATTTCCTGAAGTGAAAATTCTGTCCACGCATTCAATGTCAGCAATTGCATGACTAATTCCTTATTTCAATTACATTAAATCATTAGATAAAGGGGCACTCACAGTCTTAGATACTAAGCCATAAGAAAGAGCCACACAGAGTTCCGTGAGATGAATATGGTGGCCAAGGAAAAGATTCATTTCTAGGAATATGCTCAGGAAGTCCAGCTCTGAGTTAAATGTAGACACCTTCATAAAAAATGGAAGGCAACTTGTTGGAATAATTAGGTTCTTGTCGTCTTCCTGTAATTGTGATATTAGCCACTGTTGGTGCATGCATGTCAGGATGTACTAATCCATATCTATGAGCAAATATATGATATAAGGTGTCCATTTCATCCTGGCTATTTGAAGGCTTCTCACTTCAAGACATGGGTATGTTTACTGTTTTTAAACATTCTTTTTAATCATCTTTTGATTGTTTGTGCAGCCCCTTAAATTTACCTTTGCCCTGGCAGTTTTTTCTGAAAAAAAGGAGGGTAGAAACCACAAAAATCTATTATAGTACAAAGTCCGAAAGTAGGATATCCATTGATCAAAAGGATATATTATCTCATTCTCCGTTAATTTTCTTTCCTCTTTTCTCACACAGTATAAGAATGGATGATATAGTACTCAGCAAAAGTAAGTGTGGGGTGAATCGATTTGTTCTGATTAACTCCACTCCTGCCAAAACATCATTATTCACAATAATTTTAAATCATCCTGAATGTATTTTCAACTTTAAACACCTACCAGCTAGCCAATCTCATTTTCGTTTCCGGCTGTGCAGTAGTCCAGACTTAGATCCAAAGATGATTAATAATTTTGTTCTAATGAATTTTTAATTTAAAAGTAAAATTAATAAAGAATAATTTTTTTGTGTAACTAAAATTAAATTTGACAATCATTTATAAAGATCGATACTTTATGTTATTTACAAAAAACAGTACGAGTGGCCACATTAGGTTTTGTATCACTATATATATTTTAACTATTGTAGTTTTTTAATTTTTGTAATTGCATAAAATGAAACATTGGATGATTTTAAAAGTAACAACATTTGACAATAAAATTATAAATGTAAATTTTTTAAGAGAGTTTTCAGTAAGGGAGTTTTTAGTTATTCAGTAAAAGTTTGTTTTAATGGTATCAGTTCTTGACTTCCAGCAGAATTTTTTAAAAAATCTGCTACGAACTTTCCAGACTTTTAACCCTTTCAAGACAGATTTTTTCAATTCAAACTTGGGACGTAGTTGTCCCGTTAGTCTCAAAAGGGTTACAAACCATTGCTGATTTCTTATGAATTGATTTTTGTCATTTATTTTTCTAATAAATTTTATAATTATTTTTAAGGCAATCAATTGTATCAAAGATTTATCTAATGAACCTGACATTGATATTGGTGATGCTTTGTCTACTCAAGAAATATGCCCTGTATGTGCATGTGTTGCAATAAACACATATCGTCTGGAATATTGTCATCATCTTTATTGTCGTGAATGCATACAGGGATGGATAGAACAAGCACCATTTCCCATTCATTGCTGTGCTGAGGTATATCAAATTTTTTAATTATTTGTCCAAAATGTCTGATATTTGATTACTGTACTAAAATTTATAACTTGTAAACTATATAGCTTTACTAAATTGTCAATTAAGTAACGATTTTTTGTAGGGATTGTGCGTATGCATAATTGCTAGCATGTGCATGCATATGTGTATCCCCCCTTTTAAGATTCAGATTGTATAAGAACATAATTTGAATCTAATTTTGATAAGTTTATTTATGTATTACTTCTTCTAAAAATATTTCTTACTTATCTGGTATTTCTTCTAAAAATGAAATGATTTGTGTCAGTTTGGAGTCTGGAGTGATTTATATCAATTTGGAGCTTTTTAAAGGGCAAAGAACACAAACATGTTATAAATAGTCGATTAATAAAAAAAATATATAAAGGGAAATATTTTTACTGGTTACAAATTCTAATAATATTATTGGTAATAACTTGTACATGCCGTTTGTTGTCTTTTCCAATAAAGCCAAATATACATTCACTGCAATTAATGTGATGATTTTTTTTAATTTAGCAGCTATGTAAATACTGAAACTGAACACATACTCCTAGTTGTATTCTTATAATTCTAAATTCAAAGAAATTATTAATATTTTTTATTTGTTGAAACAAAATGAATCTATTTCTGTTCAACTAAAATGAAGAAGTTTTTTATTATTTTTTATGAATTAATTTAGTAGCTTTTTAGAATCATGTATACACTGGATTATCATTTTATGTTATTTAAAGCATGAAAAAATTAAAATTTATGAATATATTTGTTACAGACAGTTTTTTTAAGTTCTTTGCCATAGTTAGGTAACTGAATTAGTGACTGAATGAGATTTTAAAGAAGTCCATCTTTTGATATTTAAATACAAATAAGAAATATTTGCAAGACTGACTGTTTAGCAGATTACTGGAAAGCTTGATCAGAATATTTAAAAAAATTTTTTAACTTCTCTCTCTTTCCTTTTTTTAAAAGGAAAAATTAAGTAAATGAGAGACTTGTGAAACCATCATAAAGTATGTATAAGATGTAACTCGAAAAAATAAAAGCTGTTGCCAAACAATATGTTTTGTAAGTAAATAATACCAAACAATAATGCCAAACAGTATGATCTGTAAATTCATAAGAACTTCGCTTATGGAATTACAGATACCAGTAATGTATCTAAATCCATAAGCAAAGTTCTGGTGCTCTGTCCCTGTTTGTATTTGTTTGCATTGCTGCAAGCTGTGGCTACTGCAGTGCAAGTTGTGCTATGTTTTGTTTACAGTTCAGTTTAAATAAAAAGGTTGTTTTAAAACCTTTTAAGACATTGTCATACTATCTCAGATCTAGTGATAACTTTCTTCATATATGTTAGGGTTATAGGACTAAAATTCCAATATGAGACCAAGTAAACCCTTACATCTTTATCAAGAGACAAATGGTGTAAAACTCCTGCCACAGATGCTGCTTAGCATCTGAATCTCTCAAATTGTTGCCATTGTGAAGGATGTTATTCTTTTGCTAGGTATAAAAAGGTTTGTGTCCTTTCCTTTACTGCGTACTGGGTGCAAAGTGTAAGGTGGGATTGCATGATGTACTATATAATAAGAGGTAAACTCTAGATCCTTTGGAAAGCTTCAGTTGCTCATTTCCTCAACCTTCTTGGTTATTTTCTCCCTCCATCCAGCATGCCTTTGTGTTGTAACGGTAGGACACTAGGTGCATATATTTTAGAGCTTCTGGTTCGAGTGTTGGCAAGGTCTTTAATCATTTTTCACATCTCAAACAACACATTGCTTCAAATTAACCTAATGAATCTACAGTGGTGCCCGAACTATAAAAGGTGGTGGATGATAATTCATCACCACCAAGATTTAATGATTGGGACCCCTAATCTCCAGTCCCCCTTTAAAAGTGGTAGTATATAGCTTCCTTTCAGCATGCATTTGCGGTGTAATTGGAAGCATACTCAGTGCTTATTCGAGAGGTTCAGGGTTCGAGTTCTAGCGAGGACATTGTATGTTTTTCATGTCTTCTGCATCAATGAAACCTGATGGCTCTATAAACTAATTTTTAGTGATCTGTGCAGGCTCATGAAACTGGAGTCTCCTGTATTAAGATAGAAAATTTATCTTAATGTAGACTATTAGTCATCTACATGCCTTGAAGGCAGTTTGTTGAATTATAACAAAATATTGCCACTTTTGCAGGTACAGTATTTTAATCTAGAGAGTATGTCTTTAATCAGCTTTCAACTGCAATAATGATCTTTTTAAATTTGCTTTCATCCAATAAGTTTTATATCTGGTTAATTAAACAGTTGACATATCATCCTTTAAATAATTTTTTTTGTGAATAGAAACTTGTAAAAACTATATCTGAAAATCCTATAAATTTTGAAAGAATATTTTAATTTTTGTTTACATATTTCATTGTTAAAATATGTTTTCTGTTTGTTAAATACAAATTGGTATTCATTATGAAATTTCTTGGATATTAAATCTCCAAATTGAGCATGAATAGGTCATAAAGTGGCAAATTATACTTGATGTTGAATCACATGAAGACTCTGGATGGAAAAAATGAAGTGAGTTTAATGTATTGTAATGGAGAAATTGGTTAGAATTAAGTACTGTATAAAGTATTTTATTTAACATATATAGCATTTTTAGTTAGTACAATCATTCATCTTTACATTAGTAAGGAATTTTATTAATGGTGTTCTCATTATGTACTTTAAGTACTAAAAACTTAGTCATGATGAAAATTAATTTTAAAATGAATTTTATTATGTTGTGTTTGGATTTTAGGGCTGTCATAAAGATATACTTCTATATGATATAAAAAATATTTTGGGAGCTGAAGTGAAGGTAAAAGGATTACTTGAAAAATCTGTGAAAGATTATTTGGATAAAAACCATTCAAACATAAGCAACTGCCCTGCACCAGATTGCCCAATGTTTTTTTACAAAGACATGGTAGCTTCGGGAAAACACACTTGTCCTTTGTGCCGTAATGAAATCTGCCTTAAGTAAGTAATTTTTATTTGATTTTTTCCATAAAATTTAGTTCTGTTTTTAATTTGATCATTTCGTATAATATACTTTACTTCATTAGTAAATTGAAAATTTCTATACAAACTGTTTGTAATTAATAGAATTTTTTCAAGTATTTTACTATAGTTAATGATGGAATCATCTAAAGGTATATTTGAAGTGAAAAATATGTGCATGCCTAAAAAGGATTTTTGAAAAACCACATACTTTTATTTGTCATTTTAAGTCGCATGTTTAGGTCTAATTAAAGGAGGGGAAAGGTTTGAAAGCTGAACAACAAAAGTATTAAAATTAAAGTTACAAAATTATTTTAACCAAATCTGCATTAAAAGAGTTATTTATTTTCTTTTTAAATTTTAAACTTTTTCTTATACAGTCAAGTATCGAAAATCTGCCAACTCCTGAAATCCGCATTTTGCCTCTCAAAATATAAACATTGAGTTTATAGGTTCCAGAAACCACAACATGGAGTACGAAATATCGAAGAAAAAATATTTACCGAATAATGACATCATAATTACCGAATAATAAGTCATAACAAAAATAGCAAATTATCGACATCATGATAAAAGTGTTTTTCCCTGCAATCTGCATGGAGGTAAAAAAGCAGACAATTCACTCAGCTTTTCTTTCAAGTTCATAATTCACGTTGTTGTATTTTCTGAACTTTGTTATTTCACAATTAGTGCTGCCGTTTTTTTAATCCGGATATTTTGTAGATAAATTAAGAATATTTTTAATTTCAGTGCTTTTTAATACAATGACAGATAAGAAACGCACTCATTTTACTACTTGCAATGTTGAAAAACGTAAACACGTTGTATTGATGGTAACGCAAAAAGTGGAAATTCTGCAAAAGATGGAGGCAGATGCTACTCCTCGCTTTATAGCGGAATCGTATGGAATAGCGTATGATATACGGAAAAATAAAGAAAAACTGTTGAAATTTTACAGCAACAGTGATTCTAATACCGGGATCCGAAACTGGAAATCTTTGCATGAGGTGAAATCGGCAAACCTCGATGCTGTCTTGTACGAGTGAGTGGTTCCGTCAGCGGCGGGGTGATGGGGTACCAATTTCAAAACCATTTTTGGGAGAAAAGGTGAAGCAGATTCATGCTGATTTAAAAATAGAGAAGCTGTGCAATTTCAGTAATGGTTGGCTGAACAGATTTAAACAGAGACACGGTATACGTTATCTGAAAGCATGTGGGGAAAAACTTTCAGCAGATAAAGATGCTGCAGAGGAGTTTATTGATGAATTGTCTGTGTTAGTGGCAAAAGAAAATCTTAGCCCAGAAGAAGGTTTTCAATATGGACGAGACTGGACTTTTTGGCGATGTTTGCTAAGAAAGACATTTGTGATAAACGAAGAAAGTGCACCGTCAGGGGTGAAAGATCCTAAAGAAAGAGTTATGATTTTAGTATGCAGAAATGCAGCTGGAACTTACAAATGTAAATCAATGGTAGTGGATAAGAGTACCAATCCCAGAGCTCTGAAAGGAGTAAAATCCTTACCTGTGATTTACGTGAGTAATAAAAATTCCTGGTTCACAAAACAACTTATGACTGAATGGTTCATGGAGCATTTCATTAAAGAGGCTAAAAGGCATTGTAACAGTGTGGGGGTTACCATCAAATTGCAAGATTTTACTATTGTTAGACAACTGCTCTGCACATCCAGATGCAACTATTTTAACATGTGATAATGTCATGGCCCTTTTTTTGCCCCCAGATGCAACATCATTGATCCAACCAATGAACCAGAGCATAATACACAGTATTAAATCAGAGTTTCTGAAAAATATTCTTTCAAATGACCATTCTATTCCACTTTGTGAGTATAAAAAAAAATTCACCATCAAAGACTGCATTTATTTGTTAGCTGAATCATGGAATTCTGTTTCTCAAACAACATTAGTAAATGCCTGGCATAATGTATGGCCATCTTCTCTGTTTATTGAAACTGAGAGTAATGACAGTGATTGATTTTTCTGGTTTTAGGGTCAGTGCAGCAAGGATTAAAGCAAAAGAATTGCTTTTATTTTGGAAAGAAAAAATAAATGAGGAGGCTCTGCAAGAAGAAGATATTGTTGAATGGATGATGTGTTCAGATGAGCCAACGCTGACATATCAGATGACTGATGATGCTCTGTTTTGAACTCGCCACAGCAAGAAAACAATTCTGACACTGACACAGATATTGAATTTGATAGAAGTGAGAAAATATCTTTTAATGAGGGTTTGGAACTTGATGAAAAATACCTAAAATTTTTAGAACAAAGCTGTGTCACAGAGCAAGAGATGACTCTATATAATTTACAAAAAAAAAAAAAAAAAAAAAAAAAAAACTTACTCTGGAGCACCTTAAAGTTTTAAAACAAACTTCCATCAGAAAAATGTTTGAAACATGTAGAAAAAAATGAAATTTTTTATGCTTTATTAATATCCCTTATTTTTATGTCTATTGAATACATCTCTAATTCTTTTAAATATTCATGTAAGCAACTAATGTAAATACTAATATATATAATCAATTTATAATATGTAATAATTAATGTACATAATAAATTATTGTAATAGTGTTTTAATTAAATGTATATAATATGCCTTATTTAATTTGCACTTTTAGTCTGAATATTATGATTTATCTTTTCTCTGTCCTGAAATCCGCAAAATCCTAAAATCTGCACAATCCTAAAATCTGCACAACCTTTGGTCCCAAGCTTTGCAAATTTCTGGAATTCTACTGTATTACATTATTGTATTAATAAATTTTGTGAAATGCTGTTTATATTTGGAATAAGACTAATATTGAAGCATTATGTATGTTCTGTATGCTTTAGTATAACTTTAAATTCTGCATTATATTTTTTTTTTATGAAATTATAATTTTATTCAACAAGTGGAAATTTTTAAGCATATAGGAAATTTTAAGATTCTTTAAGTAAAGCAAAACAAATTTCTAAAGGGATTCAAACTGATAAATGAAGCATCTAATTTCAGCAAAAACACTGTTCAGCTCTTGAAATCTAGAGTACTGCGAATATGTATATGATAATATTGATTTTATGTGTGGTTGCTGGAATCGTAGTTTGCATTGGTACCTAGGTAAAATTAGAAAAAGGTAGATGTAATCAGTGATGTTAATTGTAGGCTCCCTGTTAAAGATGTTTTAGATTACAATACTGACCTTAAATTATACAGGCTAAAAATATTGTTACAAATGTTGTGCATGGATGGAGGATTTTGGCACAGTTATGCGGGAAATTGTTTTGTTTTTCTGTGTAGTGCAGCATGAAAATCTGGAGAGAAAATGCTGTGGCACAATGCTGGTTTGGTGAGGTACCGCCGGGCTAGGCTTGGCAGCTGTTTGACGACATTTTGGTCCGGTCCCTGTGTAGCCGTGGTGGGTATTGTGATTGATCCTCACTGTAGCTGTGTTTCGCCCTCATATGCCTTCCAGTGGTTTCGAGGTGCAGAGGGTGCTGGGGTGTCTCAATAGTTGGGTGGGACTGTATGGGTCTAGAAAGAGCATCAGTTTCCTGGTTGTTAGTTCATTATGATTTGGGAGTATTGAGATAATTCTGGGTTAGTTTCGGTCTTCAGATGCGCTTTATATTGCATTGTGTTTAACATTCGTAGTCATTTGAAGTGTAATTTCTGATTTTGCTCTGTAATACTCTGAAGAGTTGTTCACTGTTTTCTTCTGCTGATCTTCTGATGTAAGCCAAACCAGTTCGACATAGCATAGAAATGATACAGGGGTCATCCACCAGTCAAGTAACATCCGAGATGTCTACTGATTATTAAACAGGAAGAAGTAGAAAAATTTCTGAAGGACATGCAAGAAAGCTATGCCATCAAGCATTCAGCAAGTTCATGAGCCTCCACTATTATCCTGGTCAGGAAAAAGTACATATAAGTAGATTTTGTGTTGACCATCGAAGGTTAAATGAGATTACAAAGACACTCTGAAAGCAAAGTGATTTTTGATTAAAAGGTGGATATTTGCAAGTAGAGATACCCCCTGATGACCGAGAAAAGACGGTATTTACTACTGGACAAGGACTTTGGCAGTTCAAAGTGATGTCGTTTGGATTATGTAATGCACCAGCAACATTTGAAAGCCTCATATAGACCATGTCAGAGGTCTTTCCTACGAAGCCTGTCTAGTATACCTAGATGATATTGTTTGGAAGAGCTCTAAAGAATATTTAGAAACTATTAGGAAGCTACTTTAGAAATTGGAGGAAGCAAATCTAAAATAAAGTCTCGTCAAATGTAAATTGTTCAGACAGGAAGTAACTTACCTTCATCACATCATCACTGCTGAAGGTGTGTATATGGATCCAGAAAAAGTGTCAGCAGTTTTGGAGAGACCCGAAGATGTCCATCAGCTAAGAAGTTTTCTGGGACTTTGCACCTACGTAGGAGATTTGGGAAGAACGTTTCTTCCATCCCAAGGCCCCTTCACAAATTGACAGAGAACAAATAAAAGTTCTTATAGGCAAACTGAGCGAAGCTTTAACATCTGCGACAATCCAGACATATCCTCAGTTTATTAAACCATTTATTTATGACACAAAAAGCTATTTTGTTCCAAGAAATAAATGGTCAAGAATGTGTCATAGTATGCTGGAGCAAGTGTTTGTCTAAACCAGAGAGGAATTACTGTATCACCAGGAAGGGGTTGCTCATTGTAGCCATAGATCATTTCCATCATTATCTCCGTAGCAGAAAATTCCTGCTCTGCACAGATTGGCTCAGTAGCCTGGCTCTTAAATTTCAAGAGTATCAAAGGTCAAATGCGGGATGGAAACAGAGACTCCAGAAATATGACATCACTATCCATCATCAAAGGAGATCATCACATGGAAACACCAGCACCCTGTTTAGAAGACCTTACCCAAGAAATGGCCGATATTATTCCAGGGTCAAAGAGAAACATGAACTACTTAATCCGGTCATATGT